CTTTTGGCACTGGGACAGGTAGACTGCTGATGTTGGCTGTAGGATGGGTACTCTGGTGATGGTGGCTGTGTGACGGTACTTTGCTGCTGATGGTGGCACTGATGGACGACAGGTGCACTGCTTAAGGGGCGACAGGTACACTGATGGGCACTGCTGGGCGACAGGTGCACTGCTGATGGTCACTGATGGGCGACAGATGCACCGATGGGCGACGGGTACACTGATGGTTGACAGGTGCACTGCTGGTCGGGCGATGGGTACACTGATGGGTGTCAGGTACACTGATGGGCATTGATAGGCAACAGGTGCACTGATGGGCAACATGTGCACTGCTGATGGGTGACCGATGCACTGATGGGTGACAGTTGCGCTGCTGATCGGCACTGATGGGTGACATGTACACTGATTGGCGACAGGTACACTGATGGGCACTGTGACAGGGGCTGTAATGTGTGTATGCACTGTAAAAACGGTAACACACTGTTAGAAGAATCCTCTTCTCACACAAGATCTGTGTGAGAACAGGAAGCTGGTAACAGTGAGTTACCGCTCTGTGTTTACATTTGTGACAGGCTGTGATTGCCCACAGCCTATCACGTGGTAAAGAACCGCAGCCAACGGTTCTTTACCATGATCGATGATGATTTGTGTCCAAGAGACACAGATTATCAGCGATTGGCCGCAAATGCGTAGGTAGAGTGGGAGGATGTCATATGACGTCCTCCCAGAACGAGAGAACCGCCGCCCGTCTGTCAATTCTATATATGGCAGGTAGGAGCTTGTTATACTCACTGTGGAAACTAAAGGGTTAATCCTCTGCATTATGTAAAAAAGCCGTTTGATCCTGTTTTCTCTGCCCCTCCTCTTCTTCAAATGTCCACCTGATGATAGGACAGACTGACCGTAGCCACATGCACATGGTCAGTTTAATGTGTATTACTAGATAGGTTTTTTTTTTTTCTTTTTCTTGGGAGAGTGCATGTGATCAGCATTATCCAGACAGAGGGTCAGGGGTTTTGCATCCTCCTAGAGCAGAAAAGAAAACTCCTACAAGCTTTAACCAGTGCTCTGCTGAAGTCACAAGACTGCTGATGAGAAAAGGCATTTAGCAGTTTATATTTACTAAAATAATTGCACTTCCATGTTCTGTGTACTGTGGGAGACCAGATATAGCGAATGCAGGGTCCTGGGTTTAGTAGCACTTTAACTATTTTAAGGCTGTTTTCTCCATGCTGTCCTCGACTTTCATACTATGGTCATTCTTTAATAACTGGAGTTTTTTTTTTTTTCCCCTCTCTTGTAGTCACAGAGATCTCCGGTCTCTTCTCAGCAAGCTGCATCTCACAAGCCTGAAGTGGTGGACGATTTTCTGCGCAATTTTCTGATTAAAAATGGGGATGATGAAAACCTTGGAGTGCTTTCAAACAGAATGGTATATTTTCTTGTGTCTAGAGTCACAACATCTAAGGATGCTAAAAGCTATCAAAATTGGCTAAGGCCTACCATTTCATCATTGTTATTATTGGAATGGGGTTAAGAAAATAATAGAAAGAAAATCTGTAATTTTGCTCAGATAAAAACGATGTCTTATATACCTTATTCTTTTTCCCTACTGAAAAAAATGCAGACCCTAGTTACAGAAGAGCTATTGTCTAGTTATAAAGCAGGGTATTGGTTTGAAATCCAAATCAGAATAGCAGTTTATTACCTGTCTTTGCAGCTCTGGATAAGTTGCTAATCATTATGGAACCTGACACTCTCAGGTGTCATCACTTCTAGTATATCTGGCTTTCTGGCAGGCCTACTTAATGCACACTTGTGCTGAGGGATCTTTCACCTCCTAAAATGCTAACTGCCTGGCTGTCATCCTAATTCATTGGTATCATTACCTTCTGTGTCCTTGACCTGAAACATGTATTGCAGATTTCTGCATGCTTTCTCAAGGTCTGAGTTTGTTTTTAAGCGGGGCAACTGTCCCTTCAGGAGGAGGCTAGCAGTGGCAACTTCCTTGTTACTTGTAATATTTTTTTTTCATTTTAATTTTTTTTAATATCCTTGAAGATTTGCTGGAACTGATGTATGCTGATCAAGAGATAGGTACAATTCCAAAAAGTTGGGACACTGTCTAAACGCTACATAAAAACAACAGAATGCAATGATTTGCAAATCTCATAAACCCATATTTTATTCACAATAGAAAAAAATATTTCAAATGTTTCAATGTAAAATGTACCATTTTAAGAAAAGAATAAGGTAATTTTGAAATCGGTGATAGCAACACATCTCAAAAAAGTTGGGACAGAGTAATAAAAAGCTGGTAAAGTAAGTGGTACCAACAAGAAATCGCTGGAAGAACATTTTGCAGCTAATTAGGTTATGTGGCAACACGTCAGTAACATGAATGAGTATGAAAATAAGAGTATTTAGAAAGTCAGAGTATCTAAAAAATTAAGATGGGTAGAGGTTCACTAATCTGTGAAAAGCTCCATCTGAAAATTGTTGAACAATTTCAGAATAATGTTCCTCGATGTAAAAATGCAAAGACTCTCAATATATCGTCATCTACAGTACATCATATCATCAAAAAATACTGAGAATCTGAAAAAATCTCTGTGCGCAATAGAAAAGCCTGAAAAGGCAATATTGAATGCCCATAATCTGGCCCTAAGACGGCACTGCATTAAAAAACGGGCATGATTCTGTGATGGACATCACTGCATGAGCTCAGGAATACTTCCAAAAAACAACTTCTCTGAGCTAAAGCTCATTTAACCCTTTTTGCTGCCAGGTTCGTTCGTCCTGTAAACCTGAAAAGCTGGCTTCTGCAGGCACTGGATTGCTTGCACACACCCCCAGTAATGGCCAACCATCTGTGCTTCTTCCCCCGCTATGTATCCCGGACTCTGCTTTCCCATGTGCGGGCCCAGGAGTGGCGGAGCGTATGCCCCCAGGTAGATGGGAGGGAGCAGAGCATATACACATCTGCTCTCCTTCCCTTCTTGTTGCAGACCCGGAAGCAACATCTAAAACATCACTTCTGGGTCCCCATGTCAGTTTCCCCAGCCAGTATTGGTGGGAAAGAATGTATTGCAATGCAATTTCCATTGCAATCAGCAGACCACAGGGTAAAAATCCGAAGTCTTTTAGACCCCCAGCTGTCTCATTAAAGAGAACCTGTTACCAAAATATCATCATGATAGGAAAAAAAAAAAGCTAATGAAGAAAAAAAAATGTTTTCATTGTAAAAGATTAAATTAGAAGTCACACCCCATCATATAAAATACCACCAAAATTTGAGGCCCCCCCACATACATAAATGCACATACAAACATCTACCTGTCAGGGGCACCTACATTTGAAAATTCTAGCACCAGACCTCCTCCATAACGCTAAACTAGTGATTTATAGGGGGATTTTAAAGTGCCACCTATAGAAAATATAGGGTACTGAAGTTTGTCACCATTTCACTGACGCACGCAATATTAAGGTTTGACATGTTTGGTATACATTCACCATATCCACTCAAAAATACCTCATATCTTGAGGAATGCGCATCTTGAGACCCCAATGGGTTTTTTTTCTTTGGAAGCATTTTTTTAATGCACATGGTATTTACTACTACTCTCCCCCCCCCCCTTTTTTTTTTTTGGAGTGGCTTGTACTGCGCTTTTTAGTGCAGCATTTGCTTTCCACAAGATAGTGAGGTTTTTTTTTACTGGATATGGTGATGTATGGGGCTTGTCCATTAGAGGCTGATATTAAGGCCTGTGGATGAGTGTACCCGTATTGCATATCTGTAGCAAGACAGATTATACTATCACATTAGTGTTGTCCATGGTGTAACTTTATCTCCTTAATAGAGATTATATATTCCATCTGATAGGCTTATGCTCAAACTACAGTGTCTTCTTTATGCCGTCACTTCTTCTAAAATTATATGGTATTTGATTTGGTCTGGTGTGATTAACCATTCGGATGTAAAGTAAACAATTGTAATGGTATCTAGTCATATTGTTGTGTACAGTACATTCCAGTCCAATAGGCATTAGTTACAGCTTGGCATACATTTTTATATATATCTGAATAAAGGTTATATTTTAGATTCATCAGCTGGCAAGATGGTGTGTAGGGATATGCACCCTTGTCGGGCATAGATTTTCTAAAATTAACTTTACTGTATTTTTACTGAACCTGTGTATTTCCTAGACCTCTGAGGTATTATTATGTGACAAAAAACTGGAACTACTGCTATTTTATTCCCTAGGGCAGGGGTCTGCAACTTTTAAGACATAAAGAGCCACTTGGACCTGTTTCCGAAGGGAAAAAAAAGACTGGGAGCCGCAAAACCATTGCAACATTTAAAACAAATCTGACACTGCATATATTGTTTCTTACCTTAATGCTATATACAGGATCGTGCAGTTAGCTTCATCCCCCATATAGTAATTCATCCCCCATAGTAATTCATCCCCCATATAGTAATTCATCCCCCATAGTAATTCATCCCCCATAGTAATTCATCCCCCATATAGTAATTAATTCCACCCATAATAGCTTCCCCATATAGTAATTCATCCCTCATATAGTAATTCATCCCCCATAGTAATTCATCCCCCATATAGTAATTCATCCCCCATATAGTAATTCATCCCCCATATAGTAATTCATCCCCCATAGTAATTCATCCCCCATAGTAATTCATTCATCCCCCATAGTAATTCATCCCCCATATAGTAATTCATCCCCCATATAGTAATTCATCCCCCCATAGTAATTCATCCCCCATAGTAATTCATCCCCCATAGTAATTCATCCCCCATAGTAATTCATCCCCCATAGTAATTCATCCCCCATATAGTAATTCATCCCCCCTATAGTAATTCATCCCCCCTATAGTAATTCATCCCCCATATAGTAATTCATCCCCCATATAGTAATTCATCCCCCATAGTAATTCATCCCCCATGTAGTAATTAATTCCCCATATGGTCTCAATTCACTTACCTTTGCTCTGCGCGTTCCTCTTGCTGTGTTCCCGCGCTGTGTTCCGGTCTTCAGGGTGGACTGTGAGAGGAGAGGAGTTCGTCACGCTGCCCCGCCTACATCCTGACAGCCAATGTTCCACGCTCCGCGGGCCGGATTAAAAGAGTCCTGACTTTTGAGGCGGCCGCCCGAGAGGAGGGGAGCGGGCGCCCGGCACACAGAAGAGCCGCATGTGGCTTGCGATCCGCGGCTTGCCGACCACTGAAACCCTATTGCCTGTCACCTGGGGGGCAGTGTGCTCCGGAGCCGCAGCAAAGATGAAAAAGAGCCGCATGCGGCTCTGGAGCCGCGGGTTGCTGACACCCGCCCTAGGGTATCTGCTTTCAGAAATTAGATCATGTATTTGAGGTTTATGCAATTCTCAGGCCTAAAATACTTTTTTTTTTTTTTTTTTTTTTAAACATCTGTGCAAAAAATAAAAAAAACTGCTCTGGCAGCAAAAGGTTTAATGGTATCATGGTCTGTTGTAAAGTGGAAAACTGTTCTGTGATCAGACAGATTGAAATTTGACATTCTTTTTTGGCCATGGGCCCTGCGTCCTTCATGCTAAAGAGGAGTGGGACCTTCCAGCTTGTTATTGGCGCTCAGTTCAAAAGTCTGCTTCTCTGAAGGTATGGGAGCGCATTAGTGCATATGGAATTAGCAGCTTGCACATATGGATTGGCCACATCACTGCTGAAAGATATATTCAAGTTTTAAAGCAGCTTGTGCTCTCTTCCAGACTTTTCAGGGAGGATCTTGCATATTTCAGCAAGACAATGCTAAACCGCATACTGCATCTATGGCAACAGCATGGCTTAATAGTAGAAGAGTCTTGGTGCTTAAATGGCCTGCTTTCAGTCCAGACCTTTCACCAATTGAAAACATTTGGTGCATCTTGAAACAAAAAATTAGACGAAACACCCAGGCTTGTTGAGCGTTAAGAACCCTATATCACGCAGGAATGAAGGGAGAAAGGGATATAATACACAGGGTGCCAACATCCCTGAAAAATACAAAGGGGGGAGTCCTCTTTTTGGATGGGACTTTATCTGCACAATACTTTTTATATGATAAAATCATATATATCATATAAAGAGTATTGTGCCGATAAAGTCCCATCCAAAAAGATGACTCCCCCCTTTGTATATCACGCAGGAATGGGACAACATTTCTCTCCCAAAACTCCAGCAACTGGTCTCCTCTGTCCCTAGACATTTACAGAGTGTTTGTTGTTAAAAGAAGAGGGGATGCTACATTGTGGTAAACATAGCCCTGTCCCAGCTTTGTCAAGTGTTGCTGCCTTCAATTTCAAAATTATCTTATTTTTTTTTTTATAAAGTAAGACCTTTCCTCAGTTTAATCATTTTGATATGTTTCCTATTTTCTATTTTGAATAAAATATGGGTTTATGATGTATGCAGAATTTCATGTTTTGCTCTTTGTTCTTGCTGTCCATGATGAAATAGCCGACGTCATAGCACGCATAGTCAGAATAGCACCATTTTCACAGCTTCCAATATAAACAGGACAATGTCTTTTGGCACACTGACATATGAAGGTTGGTGCTCCATGTGACTGTGCTTGCAGCCTTGTGCTGCCATCTGTTGGTGTTTTAAATAACTAGTCTTGAAACCTTTTGATACCACCTTGTATATAGCAAATATACCATGTAAAATAAATATAATTGGTATTGGCTATGGTGGTTTTGGGATGAAATGTTACTTTGCTATCTGATTTACTTTTTAAGTATTAACAATATATTTAACTTGCGTTACAAAAAAAAGTGACCGTAATTATCAGTTTCATTGTCATGTAGCACATCATTAGAATATATGGTGTAGCTGAAAAAAATATCCATCATTTTGTTATGCTAACTACTTTGAATGTGCAGCAGATTGTATGTCAACTCTAAAGAGAACTATTCATTATTGGACTGGTCCAACAGTCTGAATTTTCAAACCTAAATTATTATACTTCTGGATCTTGCATACTTTCTTACGTTATAATGAAAGTTTTGATTGAGTGATAAAGTGAAATAAAATCCCCCAAATTTTGGGTTGTCGCCAAAGAAGGAATAGAGGGAAAATCTTCCAGTGTGGACACTAGTTCTGGTGACAAGTGATTCTTACTTTGGAGGGATTTCTTCTCACTTCCTGTTTTGGCTTTGGGAGAGGAAATGAAGGGAAATTTCCCCATTGGGACACAGGTGGAAAAAAAAAAAACTGAGAGGGGTTATAACTATCCCTTACTCTATCCAAAATGATAAATGAATTGATAGTACCGGACACAGAGTTCCATAAATCAAGACCATGGGTTATATATGATGCCAACTTCAGCTGAGGATACTGGTAAACAAAGCTTTTAACCCATATAACCCTTCCTACTATCAGCCCTCTTTGGTTTGTGCTACTGCCCTTAGGTGGTGGACGACCTTTCTCTAGTGAGAGCAGGTTTCTGGCTAATCGTTCCTATTTTTGCCTGGACTTCTATGTGAAAGATTTATAAGACCAAGCTAATTTCACATAGAGAAGCCATGTCTTCACATGGCTGCATCTACAGACTGCGGCCAGTTTCTCAAATTTTGGATTGGTCCCCCCTTAGCGTTGCCTTGGGGAACTGTACCCGCACACCACTGCATGGAAAATGCAGGCCTGCCCTGTAAGATTGCCTGTGCCACTGTACTCTGTGTTGGCACTCACCATTGACATGCTGGGCAGGGAGAGCATTAATCAGAGAAGCAGTCAAAAGGCCAATAGTAATTGTGGAGGAGCTGCAGAGATGCACAGCTCAGGTGGGAGAATCTGTCCACAGGACAACTATTAATCGTGCACTCCACAAATCTGGCCACTCTTCTTGCCACTCTTCCATAAGGGTCATTGTTGAAAGAAAGCCATAAGAAGTCCCATTTGCAGTTTGCGAGAAACCATGTCGGAGACATGGCAAACGTGGAAGAAGGTGCTCTGGTCAGATGAGACCAAAATGTTAACTGTTTGGCCTAAAAGCAAAATGCTATGTGTGGTGGAAAACTAACACTGCGCATCACCCTGAACACATCATCCCCACTGTGAAACATGGTGATGGCAGCATCATGTTGTGAGGATGCTTTTCTTCAGCAGGGACAGGGAAGCTGGTCAGAGTTGATGGGAATAGGGATGGAGCCAAATACAGGACGATCTTAGAAGAAAACCTGTTAGAGTCTGCAAAAGACTTGAGACTGGAATGCATGCAACACTTTTCAAATATTTATTTGTAAAAAATTTTGAAAACCATTTATCATTTTCCGTTCACTTCACAATTATGTGCCACTTTGTGTTGGTCTATCACATAAAATCCCAATAAAATACATTTAAGTTTTTAGTAGTAACATGACAAAATGTGAAAAATTTCAGGGGGTATGAATGCTTTTTCAAATCACTGTAGGGCAGTGGCAATCCACACCGATGTGACCAAGTCCCTGAGGACTTCCTCTTTGGAGGTAGGGGTATGTCCTCCTGAGGTAGGGAGTCCCAACCTGGTGAGTTCATGTCAGGGCAGGAGTCAATACCCTGTCTTTGTGTGCTTCAGGGTGGGCAGCATGAATTTCTTAGGCTGGGAGCATTATTTTTCTTAGGCTGGGAGTATTGCTGCTGCAACACTTTTTTTTTAAATGATATGTAACAGCCATGCTGTCATGCAACACAATTACCACACAAGAGAAAAGTGTTGCATCTTCTGAGATGCATTCCCCCTTGCTGTGCTAATTGTGTCACATCTTCTCTGATACATTCAGGTGGGCAGTATTCCACTCTGTGTGCATTGTTCTTCCCAGGAGGCGGTACCTTGGTCCTTCCCAGCCCAGGCACATGCTCTGCTATAGGACAAGGCACTCTGCTGCTTTAGGCACAACCCTGCTCTACTTTGAGATTTTGGTCAACAGATTGTGATTACCCCCCAGGGGATCCTGTTACCCTATTTGAAGACACAAGGGAAATTGTACATGGGGCAGACCAGCACACCGTGTACAGGACCACAATGAGGTTATTCAGGGTTCTTCTAAAAATAATACTTATATAGTTCTTTTGGACCTCAGTCCCCACACACTTTGGAATCTCCCCTCATCTCCTCCGGTAACCCCAAATACTCCCTTTTAACTAGGAGTTTTTTTTTTTTTCTATGACCTAATGAGGAAAGTATCCACACTGCTAGAGACTGTGGGATGCACAAGTGCTTGCTAAAGACATTGTTCAACTTGTCCATCATGGCTGTGTGGTTTCACAATGGAGGGGAGAAGCGTGAGGGAGATGAGGAAGTGGAAGATGAATCCTCAGATTCTAAGGACTTCCCTCAGGAGGATGGGCAATCGCTCTCAATCTCCCCCAAGCTCAAAGCAACAATTAAGGTTCTGGCGGACTGGGTACTCTACTGTTTTGAAGTTAGGGCCATTTCCACCTTCCAGATTTAGGATCACCGGTATGGGTTCCTTCCGAAATCCAAGAAGCCTACTGTGTCCTTTCTGGTACTCTCAATAGTACAGGATTTTCTGTACAAGGCCTCCCAAGAGGTTTGCTCAGATGTGCCCAGTTGAGGAAAGTTACTACAAAAAGTGGAAAAGCTCCTGTGGCGCGTCCAGATTATTTTCTGCCTCAACTGTTCCCTGACAGTTGTGGTTGAGGAAGTATTGGTCTTTAAAGACCCAGTGGCCAAAAGATTTGGGGCTCTCCTTAAATCCTGTTTCGTGCTATCAAGTTTGGCCATGCAATTGTTGGTGGTATCTATGACTGTTTGCCAGACCCTGGCAGGCTGGGCAGCTCTGGATTGATCTTGATGGATCCCTTGGTATTTAAAAAAAAATTGAGTTCCTCCCAGTAGCTATGCGCTACTACATAGACAGTTGGCTGACTTCCTGTACCAAAAGTTTCACCTGGCTCTTATGTCTGTTAGATGCACAATATGCTCTGACTATGGAACTGGTCTGTGGAGACAGTCTGTTAGAAACATCTTGAAAGGATTTTATTTGGTGGACAATTACTCTTCGGAGAGTTCTTAGACACCTTTTTTTTATTAAGGAAGTCCGAACAGAGAGAGCACTCTTCATATCTAGTAAGAAGAAAGCAAAGGTGCCTGTTGATCTGCCCAGACTTCCACTTCTAAGGCCAAATCTTGTATGTCCAAACTAGCCAAGTCTGGTGCAAAGTCCTCCTCACAGTAAATGGGGCCTCCACTTTTACTACTGATAGGGAAATCTGTTGGATTTTCAGCCACCTGGACTTGAACATTTCAGATCTTTGGCTCTGGTGCATGGTGTGTGCCAGTGTTACAGGCTGGGATTTCAATCTCT